AGAGAGAGAGAGAGAGAGAGAGAGAGAGAGAGAGAGAGAGAGAGAGAGAGAGAGAGAGAGAGAGAATGTGTCCCAGCTGCAGCCTCATAAAAACTCAGCTGCACAATTGTTGACAAAAAGCACAGAGCTCTCATTACACCAGCTTAAAAGGCTCTGCTTTGCTTGTCTGTTTTAGGAATAATTGTTGATTTCTTTATTTTTGTCTTAATGTAAAACTTTAAAACTTTTATATTTATATGTGCTTTTTTAAAAGAACTCTCCAAATCCCTCACATTTGATTCTCCTAAGTATCTGCATCCGGCAGAGTTTAATTCTTTAAAACCATGCTGCAGTGGTGGCAGAAGGCTGACTGGGAGCAGATGTCTGTGTGTCCAGTGACTGACAGAAAGACTCCAACATAAATCTTTGGATGCTTGCTGGTGCAGCAGACTTACAGTCGGCTGTAGAGACAAAGTGTATGCATGTGTTCAATTAATACAAGAGCTTTTTATTTTTCTGCATCTATAGTGCAGTGGAACACGGCACAATCCTGATTTTTTACATTGTGTAACAAAACACATTGTTTCCTGGATACCTAGAGGGTATGTTGTCAGGGGAATTTTGCTCAAGGTCAAGGATGCTTATCACTAATTAATGTTAAATTAGTGTTGAACCATGTGCATGTGCTGCATGTGCAGCTGGGAGGCTCAGGTCATCAGGCCTGTGGTAGCTGATAAGCAGATATAAACAATTCTCGCACACGGTCCGGTGCAGATTCTCACAAACAGGCTTCAATGAGAATCTGTGTAAGCCTGTTGAGTGTGTCTGCCCTTGTAAGTAAAAAAAATGGTTAAATATCTTCTTGTGTCCTAATGCAGCTTCTTTTAGTAATTAAGATGAATAGAGGATATTTTTATCCAACATTTTGGGCCTTCAAAGCCGGCCTAACATCTCTTCTAACCTCCAGGTTTGACCTGAGCCATGCATGGGGGAAGAATTCATCTCCTTTAATGAAAGCCCTCCAGATTGAATTGCCGATCTTAGCATTGTTTGATTTTATTGAACATGTTTTGTGGGAATGTCATGAAGGGACTTCTGTATCAGTGTGTGAGCCACGAAGGGGCTCCGTTAGGCAGAAAGCTCAGAGCTATCATCTCTTTTGGGAGATTGGAGATCTCACTGAGAGTCTCAAAGGGACTCCATTAGATAGGTAGCCAGGGGCTGTCATTTTATCAAAAGGGGGTTTGGGGAGCCCCCGCTGTATTTGTCGGGGACATACAGTGTAAAATAGAGGTTCGGGGAACCTTGGATGGTCAACATACCTGGTCCACATAGGCTACCTGGAACTTACGAAGTACATACCAGGTACAAACCTGGTCCTAACAGCAAATAACTGCTACTATTTATCCCAGTATGTAGCTGGTAAAAACAGTGTTTTATCAGTACTGTACCTCCAAGACTTTCCCAGTGATGTACTTCTTACAACTCTCACACACGATCCCAAACATGGCGTGGTAATCCATCTCACAGTAGGGGATCCCATCCCTATTTGGACAACACAGAACCAGAGAGTAGATAAGAGATGATGCAGTCCATCAGATGTTGGTTTAGATTACAAAGGAGAAAATGCAGGACCTGATTTCTGGATCTAACCAGTAAAAGATGGTTTTATTTACAGAAACTGCTGGATATGGGCACCAGTGACTCCCGTGACCCAAACAGGAAGGAGCAGGTAAAGATGATGGATGGATGAAAAATAAACCTAGAAGCCTTTAAAAACATCAGTTTAGGCTTAATTTAAGGAAAGGAGCTTTCCAAAACTTTTGTTTAAACCAGAGAAATCCACTAAAGAAATATATTTTTTTTATTCTTTTAATTTGCTTAAAATTAGGCAATAATCAAAAAGATGTGTTTGGTGATTAAAATAAGGACACACAATACTGTGATCTTTCCTGCATCTCATATTCCAGTATTGGCTGTATTAGTATGATAATATCAAATATCCAGCACTGATTTTGGATACTAGCCCTTTAGATACCAGTATGACAGCTGATACAAACTTATTAAGATTAAGGCTTTTCAGCAGTGAAATTCAGATATTATATCTTCTTTTAATATTACAGTCACTATAGAATCTATTTCTATTTTGATTGTACGTTTAAAACAATTTTACATAAAAAAACAGACTGTTTTTTACGATAGCAGGACTAGATGACTGTCCCTGTTCTGATACCCAATTTGGCCCAAACCAGCTCCATGTTAAACTCTGTAGATGTCAGTATTACATGTTAATGGTTAAAACTAATGGTATATCTATAACACTGTGCCAAGATTAAAAAACAAACTCAGATTTAATGTTTGTAATTATTATCCCAAAGCTTGAAGCAGTGATCAAACCGTAGGACACATCTCAGAGGAAACCAGGGGGACTTACTTGCTGATGTACTCAGCATTGAGCACCTTGTTGCACACTTTACACTTGAAGCAACCCAGGTGCCAGTGCTTGTTCAGTGCTACCAGAGACTGTTCATTCTTAAACTCCTTCCCACAGCCACAGCAGTCTGCACACAGCACACATAGACAAAGTTAGCCGCTGTTTATGTTGACCCTCAAATGAACTTCGTCTCTAGAGAAGACCAGCCTGACATCAGCAAGTGGAAGCATTAAAGTAACATTGGTCATATTGTGTGTTTCTGGGATGGAGGTTTGATTTGTGTTGGTAATGAGGAGGAGAACTGACTATGGACAGCCTGTATGGGTGCAGGGCTGTTGGCAGGGAGGGGCTGGGAACACTTTTGGCAGATGCACTCCTTCCCATTAAATGTCACCCGGTCACCGGCTGGGAAAGGCTGTCTGCAACACACACACACAACACAAACAAACAAAACAAAAGAGTGTCAGGAAATTCATTTAACTAAATTATGATGAGCATGACTAAAAGTCATTTTCCTTAAAAAAATTAATACAATTAAAAAAACATCAATCATTGTTAAGGCAGCCAAACATTATCCTGAAGCAATACACAATACAGCCCACTTTGTACCAGGGTCCTAACTGGTACTGATATAGTGTGTACTCTAACCATTTATTTTCTTGTACATGGTAAAAATCAGGTACCTGGTATACTTAATAAAACCTGATGATAAGTATCTGGCACATACCAGGTATTTATTTAGTATCTACCAAATAACAGGTAGTTACTGGTATGTACTTGGCACAGGATACGTATCTGGTAGTTGTGTGGTACCAGGTACCAAGTGTATACCAAGTATGTACTAGTTACCAGGTACCTGGTAAGTATCAGGTACCAGGTGTCTATCAAATATTAGGAAAGTAGATACTGGTTAAGTACCAGGTACATAATAAGCAGATCTGGTTTTATTAGGTGTCAAATCAATCAGTCAATCAATCAAAAACTTTATTTCAGACACACATGGTCCATAGTAAACAAAAACAGGCAAAAAAACCTAACAACAACAATGCACAATGAAAATAGAATGTTCATCCATTGCCGTATAAATTAAGGTGCCAGTGATTCCACAGACTAGAAGAGAACCTAACCGAGCTTTGTACGGGGTTGGTCAGAGTATAAATGATGCTATTTACAGAGTCTGTTAGCCTACACATACATCTGTACGGTTTGGAAGCACAGCAGCATAAGTTGATACACTGGCATTTACAAACATCTGACTGGCATTACTCCATCACGGCACCTTAAGCAGCATCCTCATGCCATCATTGTACGCCACCTGAAGTTTATGTATACTGCTTTTTCTGTAATGCTGCCACAGGTGGGCAGTATACATTGGAGTACAATATGCTTTAAAGAGTACAGTTTTTACAGATACTGAGCACATAGAGAACTTCTGAAGAAGAATATTTTGGAGGAGGATGCCAAGTCAAAAATGCATTGAAACACACTTACCAATTGTAAATGGTGTTCCTGTCACAATTTTATTTTATTTTTTTCTTTATTCCTCCTATATCTTTGGTACATTGCATACAAAAGACACATGGCTCAATCTGGAACATTGTACTTGTATTTTATCATAGCTGTGCATTATCTGTTCTAGACTAAATTCACAGAGAACTTAAAATGTTATTTTCAAATAGTAATGGTATTTTGGCAAGACAAGCGAGAAAAGCCAGCCCTCATCAAAACTCTAAAGCACAGTCATACTGACAGAAACATCATCTGTAACATCGTAGCTAATGCATATGTATTGCACGCTGCTAGCTTAGCTCTATATTAGTTCTGGCAGTTTTCGACACAGGGGTAGGGAGGCTAGGATGCGTGAGAGAAGTGGAATGTGTTCTATTCACACAAGGAGAGCTGTTGGTCAGACTACTTCTTGTTGCTCTCGAAAATAGTTCAAATAGTTATTGTATCAAGTGTTTACTTATGTAGGTAAACGTAGCTGTTTAACAACACGTTAAAACACACCAGAATGCAGGAAATGGCATCTACCCACACACCACTGTGTCCTCCCCACATTACAAATGCTTCTGACGCCAATGGTCCACACTCTCATTGACTTCCATTTTATCTTAGCTCAAAATTCTCTATTCAAAACTGTCAGTCAAGTGGCTTTAACTGCTTATATCTCACACATAAACACTGTAGACACATAAAAAATAGTTTTCAAACAGCTACAGTGTGAAGCTTATTTTCTATCTAACTTTTTTGTGAGTGCTGTACTTGAGTGACAGTCACAGGAGTATGGTTACCATGGTGACTGAGCACTAATGAGTCTATGGCAGCTGCTTTACATTTACATCGCAACAGTTTGTGCTTCAAAATGTTGGTACTTTGTCAACTTAGATTTTTGCAAAAAATTTTTTTTTACAAAAAGAAAAGCCAAGTTATTGGAATTGAGAAGAAACCTTTGAGAAGTAGTTTCATTCAAAAATGTATTCAGACTTTTCTTTGTTAATAATGAATTATGTCAATATTAAACTACAGAAATTGCATTTCTTTTGAAAATGCAGTGTGAATGCTTATTGCAAAAGAACTTGCTGACAAACAGCTGAAATTAGCTAAAAATTCATGCTGAAATTTAGCTGAAATGGAAGAACAAGCCTAAATTAGCAGAAGAAAACAGAATGAACACATATTTGCTGAATTAGGTTTAAAGAAAAAAAATTTGTGAAATTTGAAATGCTTCAAGTTAATGATGACCACTTACACTGGTTAACTGGACATCATTAACTTCACGCAGACTCTCTCACTGGTACATTTTCATCTTTAAATCACTTCTTGGTCTGTTGCCTTCATACATCTCCTCCTACATGTCACTGCATGAGTGCAGCTACAGCGTGCACTCTCAAGACATCAATACCTGCATGTACTCTCAGCGCGGACTGAATTTGGCAAAAGGTCCTTCTCTTACTCAGCTCCTGTTTCCTGGAACACCTTGTAAAAGATCTGAAGTCGTCAACTTTGACCTCTCAAAGGGATTTTAAACTACTGTTAAGTTCAATGCAAAACTCAATGCAGGCATGTTCCTGTTTTGAATTTCTTACACTGTTTTATAATGTAAAATGTTTTTTATTTTGTTTTATATCACTTCTTTTATTTACTTTTTATTTTATATGCTTCTATATAAATGTTTATTGTGTGTACCTCATTTATGGTTTTTGTTTAGAACAGGTCTCTCTTGTATATGAGTCCTTGTGACTCAATGAGACTAATCTGTAGAAATAAAGGTTGAATGAATGAAAAATAACCAGAAATTAGCACATACACAGTTGTAGAAGGTGTGGACATGTCTCAAGAAGAAGAGGACACCTAAGGACAAGATGGACCAGAACATGACAATATAAAGCAGTAAAGTCTCTACACTGAACTATTATCTCTTGTACGTTTAAAAAATATGCATATATATATCTAAAAGGGTGCGTACTGTTCTTGTGTTAGGTTATATGATGTGTTTGTCAAAACAAATGAAAAATACAACAAAAATATTTATGGAAAAAAAGAAATGAACACAAAATTTAAGAAATTGCCCCCCCCCCCCCAACTGAAATTAGCAAAAAACAGCTGAAAAGTAGCTGAAAAGACAGAAAGAAGCTTTAACTACCAGAAGGGAGTTGAATAAGCTGAAATAAGCCAAAAAAAAAAAAAAGTGGAATTAGCTGAAAAAGCTAAAATTTGAGTAAAAGACTAAAAAGTAGCTGAAAGATCAGAAAAAGCTAGCAGCAAAAAGCTGAAAGGAGAATAACAAGATGAAATTAGGATAAAGAAGTTAATTAGGCTGAAAGCAGCAGAAATGACCATGAAAACCTTGAATTTATCTGAAAACAGCTGAAAGTAGCTACAAAAATGTTAAAAAGGTAGCTAAATAGTTAGAACAAGCTTAAATTATCAGAAAACAGAAAATTATAAGAAAGCAGAAAGAACACATTTGCCCAATTTGCTGAAAGAAGCAGAAATGAGCACAAAAAGTTTAAATTATCTGGGAAAAAAAAAAAAAGAAGCAAAATCAGCTGAAAAATAGTCAAAAAAGCAAAAAGAAGCTTAAATTCTGAGAAATAAGTGCTGAATTAGGCTGAAAAAAAGTTGAAATGAGAGCAATAAATGTGGAATTAGCTGAAAAAGCTAAAATTAGCATAACAATAGCTAAATAGTAGCTGAACTAGCAGAAAGAGCTGAAACTTGCGGAAATCAAGTCAAGTCAAGTCAACTTTATTTATAGAGCACATTTAAAACAGAACCTGTTATCAAAGTGCTTAACAACAACAACAACAACAACAACAACAACAACAACAATCAATGAGTAAATTAAAGAGAAAAATATATAAACATATATATACAATACACTAATAATGATAATAACTGAAGAATTAATAAAAAGCATTTAAAACATAGGGTCACAGATTAAAAAACACTAGATCAATTTACACTGCGTGAAATGCCTGCGAGAACAGATGTGTTTTAAGCAGAGATTTGAAGTGAGGAAGGGACGTGGCCTGCCTGATGTTGGGGGGCAGATTGTTCCAGAGTTTCGGGCCCATGACTGAAAAAGCCCGATCTCCTCTGAGCTTCAGTCTTGTTTTTGGAACAGCCAAAAGCAGCTGATCGGATGATCTCAGGGCCCGAGAGGGAACGTAAGGTTCCAGAAGCTCAGAGAGGTGAAGGGGTGCGAGGCAATTTAAGCATTTGAAGGTCAACAGAAGAATTTTAAAAACTATCCTCGTACGAACAGGGAGTCAGTAAAGGGAGGACAGAACTGGAGTAATATGGTCAGACATACGAGTTCCAGTTAAAAGCCGAGCAGCAGCATTCTGGATGAGCTGAAGACGTGAGATGGAGGCCTGGCTGATCCCAGCATACAGTGCATTGCAATAGTCCAATTGGGTCGTGACAAAGGCGTGGACTAGTTTCTCAAGGTCGGGTCTGGACAACACTGGCTTGAGCTTAGCTACCTGTCTGAGTTGGAAGAAGCTTTTCTGCAGAACAGAGTTGATTTGTTTGTCAAACTTGAAGTCAGAGTCTAAAACCATCCCGAGATTTTTACCAGACTGTTTCAGATATGGCTGAAGAGTCCAGGTTGACAGGATCAGTGGCGGCAGTTGAGCTTGGGCTAAAGACAATGACTTCAGTCTTGTCATTGTTAAAACTTAAAAAATTTGAAGCCATCCAGGCCTTAATGTCGTCCAGACATTTTAACAGAGGGTGAATGGAGCAAACACTTGCTGGTTTCACAGGCAGGTAGATCTGACAGTCATCAGCATAACAATGGAATGAAAGACCATGTTTCCTCAGGATGGACCCCAGTGGAAGCAAATAAAATCAGTTGAAAGGAGCATAACATCTGAAATTAGCATGATTTATGCTTGTGATAAATATGTTATGCTTATAAGTATGTTTTGTGTTTTTATAGTAGGCCGATCACTTTGACTTGGTCATTTTAAAAGTAGCTTGCGCATGCTGAAAAAGTGTGGGCACCCCTGGTCTAACATCACAGTAAAGATATCTGAAGCTCCTGTGCTGCAGTTGATGTCCTCACAGCACAGAACGCCTTATTCATGTCACTGGAGAGCCGGAGGGAACAAAAGTGTGTGTGAGTGTGTGTGGGGGGAGGTTAGTGATTATTACTTGCATGAGGAGCAGACGAAGCAGCGAGGATGGTAGGTCTTTCCCAGAGCGGACACCACCTCCCCCTCAATAAAGTCCTGGCAGCTGAAGCAGCGAGTGCCATACAGCCGCTGGTAGTCCAGAGTACAGATGTATTCACCCTGACGCACAAAAAACCCTCCCTGGGCGAGTTCACAGCCGCACACTATAGGAAGACACACAGCAAAAAATAATTAGTGATATGAAAACTCTAAACTACAAATCCATTTGAGGACAAAAACATCTGGAACTTAGAGGCACCAGAAGAACTAAAAGAGCCCAGTTTATCCTCTTTATGGATGTGGACCATATGACTTAAGGAGATGTAAGAACATGCTAAGATACTATAGCTATAACAACTGCCAACATTTTACAGACCAGATATGCTTGGGATTAAAGCTATTTTATGTTGATTTAAAAAGAAGTAAAAATAAGTGAGGTGTTATGTGGAGAGTCTGTTTGACACGTCTAATAATTTTCCTGCTTCAAGAGCCAGAAACACAACAACAGTGAAGATGTGTTCAACCTGTCTGTGGGCTTAATCCAACGTGACAGGAACTCACAAAGATTAACAATAGTTAGTAACAAACAAGAGTGACTAGATAGCATCACAGAGCTATAGTAACCCCCTACCCCTACACTTCCACGTGCTTTGTTTCTGGAAACAACAACAGGAAAGATAGATGATGTTTGTCCTGGACCATGTATGCAAAGTGCAACATACATACTCCCAGTGAGTCAGACATGAAGATATGACATGTTACTCATACTGTGTGCTTTACAAAGCTAACATTTACAGTGTCTGTAAAAAGTATTCACCTTGAAGCAGCATTTTGTCTCTTACGACATGTTATCAGTGAACCTACATGGAAACAACAATGCCATGAAGTCTGGGTTGAGGGCCCGACCCAGAACATTCTCTCTGATTGAGCGTGACAAGTACATGCTGTCGTGGCACAAGGGAAAAGAATCGTACAAAAGCTTTGTGAAACTCTGTGAAGGGCGGGGGTTATTTTTTGGATTCTGATGCTGTTCAGCTGATTTAGATTTTCAGTACGTCTTCAATAAACCCCAATTTTTAATGTGAAGAGATTCAATATCATCTCTTGTTTTTGTTTTTACTGAAAGATCAAGTCTTTACATGTTTTGGCTACAACAACCTTCCTGGGTGTTTTAATTGGTTATAGCTATTACAAATCATCCATCCATCATCTTTACCCGCTGCTTCCTTTTCAGGTCACTGGGGTCACTGGTGCCCATGTTCAGCCATCACTGTGCGAGGGGCGGGGGACACCCTGGACAGGTCTCCAGTCCATCACAGGGACACACAGAGACAAACAAACATTCACTCTCTCACTCACACCTAGAGACAATTTAGAGTTATCAATCAGTCTAACATGCATGTTTTTGGTCTGTGGGAGGAAACTGGAGTACACGGAGAAAACCCACAAAGCACGGAGAGAACATGCAAACTCCACCCAGAGAGGCCCCTGGACCAGGATTTCAACTGAGGCAACCTGTTCGCTGAGAGACGGCAGTTCTACCAACTGCGCCACCGTGCTGCTCTATTACAAATCAGCCATGGTCAATATAAATTGTACTTTTTGACAAAAAAAAAGGTTAAAAATTTTTCTTCTTCAATGACAAATTCATATCCAATTTCTACAGAACAATACCAGTTAAATAAAAATGGTGTAATATAAAACAAGTGATAACATAAATATTCACTCCCTTTAAGTGACTGTCCTGATTCAACTCAGAGAAAAGATGCACATGTCAGGGCATGGAGACAAACACATTTCCAGGGTCCTAACCATCTCCAAGAGTTCTGTTAAATCTACCATGAAGACATGGAAGAAGTATGGCACATGTGTAAACCTATCAAGAGCAGGCCGCCCTCACAAACTGACAGACCAGGAAGAAGGAGAATAATGAGAGACCACCAGGACCCCTGAGACCACTGAAGGAGGCACAAGCTTCAGCAGCTGACATGGAGAAACTGAGCATATGATAACTGTTGCCAGAGTTCTTCACCATCCATCCATCCAACCATCATCCATCTATACATCTATCCATCCATCCATCCATTTATCCAACCCTCCATCCATCCATCCAGCCATCCATCCATCCATCCATCCAACCATCATCCATCTATCCATCCAGCCAGCCATCCATCCATCCATTTATCCAACCCTCCATCCATCCATCCATCCATCCAACCATCATCCATCTATCCATCCATCCATCCATCCATCCAAACATCATCCATCTATCCATCCATCCATCCAGCCATCCATCCATCCATCATCCACCCACCCATCATTCCATTCATCCATCCATCCACTCATCCATCCAACTATTCATCATCATCCATTCAACCATCCATCTATTCATTCATCCATTCATCCAACCCTCCATCCATCCATCCATCCATCCATCCATCCATCCATCATCCATAATCCATCCATTGTCTATCTGTCCATCCAACCATCCATCCATCCAACCATCCAGCCATCTAACCATCCATCCATCATCCAGCCATCCATCTATCCATCCAACCATCCATCCATTAATCCAACCATCCATCCATCCTCTTGACCATCCATCTTACAACCATCCATCATCCAACCATCCAACCAGAGAGTGGTAAAGAGAAATACATGATTCAGTTCAGCTCCAGTGAAATTCAATTTCACTTGAACAGTTCAGTCCTGTCAAGACTTCACATTTATACAAACCTAATTCTAATCTAATACCTGACTGACAAATGTTGGATTGTATACCTGGATTATTGAGCATGGACTTTGTTCTCATTCTAATTTGTTTGCAGCTGATTTTGATTCAGGTCTAGGCCCAGTCAAAGCTACGCTGGACATTTCTAAACAGACCATTTTAATCTGTTTACATAGATTTCTGCATATGAATCCATCAAAATCTGTAAAATACTTGAGCTGTTCCAACGTTGGCATTAACCACAAATCATCAAAGGACAAATATTCTTACCTTGGTGAAAGATTCACCCACAGCCAAAGTAGATCTGTTTATACTGCTTACACTTTCTTCTTGATGATAATTATTTTAGCTCATGATAAAAAATTTACTTAAAAAAGGATTATGGTAAAACAAAACAAA